TGTCAATAAATATCAGCTGATGCTAGCATTGCCAACCCTGGGGTAGTATGTTTTTAGGACGGTGAGTAATAGCGCGATTTGACGGATTTTTGACGTTTGTGCGCCCAAGGTCACCCGCCATGAGATATTAATACCACTATAATTACAACCCTTTAAAAATAAAATTTATAAATTGATAAAAAATATTTATATTAAAAGAACCACAGACCACCAAAACAAATGGACGGCGCATTGCCATTCAATAACAATGATTTGTTTGCGGTCAACAAACGGTCACGGTCTAAGCGTCAAATTGGAGATATAATTTTATGTTTTCTTCCAGTGACGTCATCAAACGGTCACAGTCTAAGCGTTAAATTGGCGATAGAATTTTATGTTATCTTCCAGTGACGTATTGGGATTAAAAAAATTAGTAGGAAGGTACTTACAAACGATATTTCCATGTAGGTATTGTTATTTTTAGTAAAAAATAATGTATTTAAACTCCATAATTAACTTAACACGATAGAAATACACAAACGAAAACACAAAACAAGCTGTCAACCCACAGAACATAACCTTTTTCTATGCTGTCAAATATGACGAATTTACCAACGTTGTTAATATTTAATTTTAATAATTATTAAATGATTTACTTTCTTTAAATAGAGAAAAATATCTAAAGAAAATAATGAACAAATCCTTTTTACAATTTTTTTATTATTCAAACGAATTACTGGTAATTATTAATGTTCATTATGTTTGATGAACGTCCAAAAATGCGTGTAATCTATACTTCTGACAACGTTGGAAGCCGTGTTTCTTTCGACGGTGTTTAGAATGTGAAAGTATGCTTTACTCGCTTTTTAAACGTAAACAAATCCGTCCATTTGTTTTGGTGGTCTGTGAAAAGAACCTTTCAAAACTAAAAATCCTTATAACTTCCTTATTCCTAAGAACTTAGAAAAAAACTTTCACTGCAAACACATTTTTTACATTTTCATTAAATTTCTTCGCTACTATAGTATACAGGATGATTCCAAACTCGAGGCGAAAAATTAAGGAATGTATACAGTTTTATATTCTTAATAAAAAATGTAAAATAAAATTTTTGGAGATATGGCTTTGTTTCCGAGATATTAGACTTCAAAGTATTTGCAAGTGATCCATTTTTAACTTTATTATATAATATAAAAAATAAAAAATAATTAAATCAAATGTTCAAAAATACCACCATTAGCGCGAATACAGGCTTGGCAACGCAAAATAAGGAAATCGTATACTAATTGCATGTTTTGTCTATTTTGAGTGCATTCGACTGCATTAATAATTTGTTCCATTAATTGTTGTTGGTTATTAATTTCCACTGCGTAAACCAGTTGTTTTAAATGGCCCCATACAAAATAGTCCAAAGGGTTCAAGTCAGGTGATCTCGCAGGCCATAGCACCTGACCACGCCGACCAATCCATCTCCCATTAAAAGTTTGGTTTAACCAGGCGACAACATTTCGTCCAAGATGCGGTGGTGCTCCGGAGCTCCGTCGTGCTGATACCACATACGATTGTATACCAAATCCACAGGAAAATCTTCCAGCAAATTTGTGAGATCGTTTTCTAAAAATTGCAAGTACGCATATGCATCTAAACGATTAGGAAGGACTTGAATCAGAAGTAATTGTCCGTTAAAGACTCCGCCCCATACATTAATAGAGAACCTTTGTTGAAAATTTCTTCTTTTAAAAGCGTGAGGATTTTCTAAAGACCATACATGTTCATTACGGCAGGTATTTATGCCATCCCGAGTAAAAGTAGCTTCGTCCGACCAAAGCGTCTCTCTGAAGAAATTTTCATTTTGTTCATGCTGCTGAAGAAGCCATTAGCTGGCCATACACAGGCGTTATTTCGCGCGGTTTATCGTGGCGTGTTGGGATGTAGCGGTTAGTATGCACGAAAGAACGGCATGGCAAAAAAAGCGTCATGTTCCATACACTTGATAAAGTATTCAAATGATTTAGCAAGTGATTGCCTGTGGTATATCAGTTTCAAAGGAAAAATTGTATGTGAGTGGGCAAAAAGTGTCATTTATCGAGTCGTTTGAAACTGCATTTGATCATGTACAAATTTTCAACGTGAAATTTTGCCAAGCAAAGGTAAACCGTGACGCGGAATGTGGCGTGTGGACACGCCACACTCCAGAGAAAAGCACGTCTGAAATCCCTTCCCGTTCTATCATTTCGCGCGGCGATACTCACTCACGTACATGATTTTCCATATGTTTTTGCAGATAACACGATAAACCGCGCGCAATAACGTCTGTGTATGGCCAGCTAATGACAAAAGGCGAGTCGTTGCATGTTATCTCCTGGGTGCAAATTATGTACTTTTTGTTTATGAAATGGATGTAAAACTTCGGTTTTTAAGGTTCTCCAAGCAAAACTTTCGGATACATTAAGACGGGCAGCAATGCGTCTGGTACTAATTTCTGTATTATCGAGCACACAATCTATCACTTCTTCTTCCCTCACAGCATCATAATAATTAGTTCGGGTAGCACCACCAGCACCAGTACGGGAATTATCAATTCCAAACTCTCGTAGCCTTTGATAAGCATCGGAAAACACCCGGCGAGATGGTTGTCGTTTATTAGGAAATCTTTTGTTATACTCCCGACAAGCTTTTAATGCGTTGCCATCACAAAAACCGTATACATAAAAATAATATCTGCATGTAATACATGCCATGTATACATAAAAATATTATCTGCATATCGTTAGAAAACTGCATGATTAACAAAACAACTAATACAACAAAGCAACTTTTAAATTTGTAAACAATTTTTGTTGAATGTCACAAATAGGATAAAAATGTAGATAAATATGTTTACATGTAAACCTTACTTTTTTTAAATTCCCAGGAATAACGAAATTATAACGATTTTTACTTTTAACAGGTATTTTATAATTATTTGAGAACCGCAGAATTAAAAAAAAAACATTTTTTGCTTAGAATCTTGAACCCGAATTTTTTTTTTTCGCCAATTTCTTCACTGCTATGTTTTGAGTTACCATCACCATCTTTTGTTTTTTTAATGGCCGCCATAACTTATGTAGTTTTATACATTGTTGGATTTTATTTTTTTTGTCTAACCATGTAAAATTTTATTCTGGCGACCATGAAAAAAACAAAAGATTGGTATGGTATCTTAAAATCCAGAAAAAATTACAAATTGGATGGAAATATAGATAAATGTTTTTTGTAATTATTAAATGTCATTTTAATAAACTTGTAATTATGCAACTTATGTCTAAGTTAACCGACCTTGTAGCTCTTCAAATAAAAAATATACCCAACATAGAAGTATACCGTACAGGGTTAAGAATATTTTGATTTACTTTTTATTTAGATGAATGCATTATTTATTTATATTTTATTAAAGAAATATTTTTTTATTAGTTGAATTAAAAGAAAAACAATATTGACTTACTGAAAAATTAAAGATATGAAATTTATTTTTATCAAATAAAAAATAAATAATCATTTAGCATAATCAGCCCATGCTTTCAAGACATTGTTTGTGAAACCGTTTTTTTCGATATGCAAATATTTAAATTCGTGTAAGTATATATTTTTTTAATCAGATACCTTAACCAAGGATCATTGATCATGTAGTTTTAATTTAAAATAAAAATAAATTATACACATTTCTAAAGTAAAAATTCGGCAATTTTTAAAGTTCAAAGTGCTGTTACGCAAACAATTTTTGTCCAATTTTAATAAAATTTACAAAATTTTGTAGCTTTTTTATTTACTTTATTGTGTTAAAATGTTAACGCAATCAAATATATTGCCAAAATGACACTTTAAATAACCGCGCGTGTAACAATTTATATTTAAGATAAAAATAAATTAGAAACTAAAGTTTCTTCAAATACCTCAAAAACAAAACCAACCGCCCTAGTAGAAATTTGTCCAGTTTTCCTCACTACTGGTAGGGCGCTGGTTGGATTTAGATAGGGAAAAACTAGAAAGGGAAATCCTAGATCGGTCCCGACTAGGAACTAACCAGTATAACTTGCCTAGTTGTGGCTCGGCTCCGACTGACTAGTTCACATCTAGTTTCCCTCATTAAATCCCAGTCTAGGCTGAGTCAAGTTTTCCTCGCCATAAACTTGTAAGTAAATGTATGGAAAATCTTTAAGATCAATCTTAACATTCCATTCGTATCGATCGATATAATTAGAACATAATGACAATAATTGTTATAACAATTATTGTCATTCTTACTCTTAGAATGGATTGTATTAAACGTTTTACAATTTAAATATATTTGATTTACAAGGCTTCTCTCGGACAAAAATTTAAGGAATTATATTTTTGAGATGCCTCTTTGTTTCAAAGATAAAAGTTGTTTAATTAAACACCTTTAACTTAAGTTAAACTGGGAAAAAATTTAAGATTAAGATTTTTTGGGTGAGATTTAAGATGAGGGTGTATATTTAACATGCCTGTAGAAATCAAATGGACAAACACAATTTGTTAATATTTCAAATAACTTTTATTATATTTGCGTCCCGTCTCACTAGATGGCACCACGATTTTAATAAATAAATTTTTAATACCTACCTATCGAAGTTGGTAGACCTGCTTATGACGATGTTGGTAGACCTGCTTATGTGACATACGTTATGTCATTTTTTTTTGTGCTTTATGGTAACCATAGATGACCGAAGGTAACCACGTTTGTTGAATCAATACTTAAGTTTTTAGAAAAATTGTGCTAGATTTATCAAGAGAATGGGAAAAAGGCCACTCGCCCGTTACTACTTCCTCAAGCAGCTCTAAAGAGGAAAAGGAAAATTTACGACGTAAATTAAGGGAGACAAGACGCAAATTCAAAGCCGCTAAAATGGCGGCAGATCAAGAACGGTATTATTATTACCTATTATTTCAAATCCTTCCGTATTAAAGGTTAGTTATTTTAGACGTCGTATGCCTGTCCTTTCTAGACTAGCATTAGTCTCATTAAAGTATTGTGCTTAAATTTATCCCAACTAAAAGTTCTAAAGTTTTATGGGATATTTCAGGTGAGTCACCAAATTTTAATAATATTATCCCTTCAAATACCCCCCCAGGATCCACTGGCATTAGATACAATTCCACCCTTAAGTGACGACATGTGTAAAGTAATTCATCTGAAACAGGAAATACATACACTATTCACATTTCGCAAATAGTATAAAAAGTACGATACATTTATCACTTAACACTAGTCCAGTTTAATAGTCGAAAATAATGCGTTTAGATACAGTCCAATAAAAATGAATTGCCTTTAAATATCATTAAATTTAACGCAAATATTCAGGTAACTTCCCTTAAAATTTTATTTGATTTCTATTGAATGCAAAATGAAATGTGGACTACAACCCAACATTTTTGAATAATTATTAATTATTGCCTTAACATTTTAGATTTCATTGATGGACAAAAACTACCGGATAAACAAAGGCTTACGGCAAAAGAGTTCTAAAAAGCTTTAAGCTTCCAAAGACTAGAGTGGGGGCAGAACCGAAAGATCAAAAAAAGTGAAAATGTAAATATATTTAAATCTAATAAAAAAAAAATTGCTACTGGCATTTATTATTGGTTAAAAAATTCACAAATATTCCCAACCAGTTTTAAGCTAGTTTTCCCTACCAGCTTTTCCCCAGTAGTAGCATTACATGACTAGTCAGAAACTAGTAGGGATTCCTAGCGAGGCCCTCGTTTCATTTGGGGAAAACTAGCTAGCGCCCTACTAGTTCCCCATTTAAATTTCTACTAGGGCGAGTTTAAAAACTAATACATCAAAATGTAGGGATACCCCTACAATTTTTAAAGGAAAGAGGGGTATAGTGATAGGTACCTTATTTTGAAGGACCATCAGCAGCGTAGGTGTTGATGTGGGGTTAAAAATATAAAAATAAATTGTGATGAAATAAAAAATAGATGTGTGCGAGCGTTGTTTTTTACGTAACACCTGAGAAAACCGGGGTGGAAACCTTTCATTGACCCACCCTGTATGTATAAATATGTAACTTAAACTTATTTTAATTAGGTAAGTACTTTTAGATTCAAAATTTTCATTACTCCCTCTTAGTTGAACTTCCTCTAACTCAAACAGTTCAACATGTCGGATCAAATTGGAGGAAGTGGACTGTAATAGCAAAAATATACTTGAAATAAGCATGAGAAAACTGAGGGTTGAAACAAAATAATAGCATTTTCCTAATGACCACCTATTTCCCAAAGTTTATGTAGCATGACCATTGTTGATGGGTGTTACTTTTATTCACATGATTTTTTTAGGATTCCTACGTCTTAAGCAAGCAAAAATAACATATACATATTTACACGCACAGTTGCTTTAAGTGCCAATTTTAAAATTTTTATTGCGTTGAAAGTTTAACACAATACAACACAATATATTTTATATATATACATATATTTGTTTATAACACAATATAATGTATATGTAAATATTATAAAGTAGATAAATAAAGCTATAGTTATAGCTTTATGACCAATGATCCTTGGTTAAAGTATTTGATAAAAAATGTTCACACTTATTTAAATGTTGTGCAAAATATTTTTTTTCGATAATGCATATGAAGGGGTAAGAAGCAAAAGGGAACAAGTGCAAAAAAGAGAAGTAGAGTTATTAACTTTTAAACTTCTTGCAATATACAAAAATCTTGTTTCAATATTGCTGTTTGCATTAATCAACATGCAGAACTCCTACAATTTTCACGTTATGAGAAAATTGCATTTGTACCCTTTTGCTTCTTACCCCTTCATATATGCATATGCAATTAAAAAATATTTTTTACAATATCTCGAAAACAAAGGCTAATTGAGCAAAAATGGTTATTTTTGGAATTAGCGCACCCAAATTACCCTAGAAAAGTTTTTGGCCACTCCGTGGCAAAATGGCTGTTGACCAGAGTAATACTATATTTATTACAATATTTATTAATATTAATATTGGTATAGAAATTATATGCCATATGAGTTATTGATTACAATGTAAGTTATTTAAGTAAATCAACTATTTTTGTTTAGTTTATTTCTAATTTTACAGTGCAAAATGCATTAATGTTTACAAATAAACTAAATCTAACTTATTTATTCCTAAATATTTACCAATGGCGTATTTAATGTGTAATGCGTAATGTAAAGACCACCTGTCAAGTCTAAAAATAACTTTTGTTTGTTATTCAATAATTTTTATTTATCACATTGTTTAATTCTAAATTATTTATTACGATGCAAATTATGTCTTTTATGTTTTACTGCTAAAACTAAATTTATTATACACATTAAAATAATAAATTTTACTAGGATCTTAACTTATTTTTTAATCAATCAAAGAGTATTTTCAAATAATTTACTATATATAGTAAATAATTTAAATACTCTTTATCTACACCTATTGCATAATATTGTTTTTTTTTCGTGAATAATGATAAACATTATGAATTCCCTCCTAGCAAGGTGAATAATGAACTCATTATTCACGATGTTAAGCATCAGTGATTGGTCGATTTTAATATTCACTGTGATTTGAACCAATCCGGTTTTAAATTGGGAGAAGGCGACTATAATTACATTTAAAATTGGTAAAAAGTAAGGTTAACCATTTGACAGATGTCAGATTTTATTTATTTATTTTTAAAAATCATTTAATTATCTACTTATTGGAGTAGATAAAGTATAATATTACACTCGAGATTATGCGCATTATCTCTCGTATAATAATATACTACCTATATAAAATATTATAGATAATTTTTTCACCTGTCATCTGTCAAAAGTGGATCAATATTGGACTAGTACAAATTGCAGCGAATATAGTAACCAGAGACCCTTGTCTCTGATAGTAACTATTCAAAGCAAGCACAAACAATATTCGCTTTAATTTGATTATTATAATTATATAGGTAATATATAATTATAATAATCAAATATATAGCAAATATTATCATATTATGATTAATTATTTTTCTACTCCCTTTTTATTTTGCCAGCGGCACGGTTATAAAAGACTGTAAACTAGATTTAATGGATAAAGCATTAAAAATTTCGGATGGAGACTCCACCCTGGTGTGCCCATAGATCATTCTCTTTACTCTTACGGTGAAAAACTGCTTTTATATAGGATTTAAGCGGTTGTTAGTTCATTTTCAAGGGATAAAATTCGATATTTGTCGCCGGTACAGATTCCTATTCTTTTGGTTCCTCCATTTTTGTATAGATGTCGCTTTATACAAATATTTAATTTAAATATTTTTTAGATAATAATTATTTGTCGTATAAAAAGTATAGTACCTATGCAGCTCGTTTATAAACTTCCAGACACTCATTTAATACTTGCCCGCAAGCTCGCTCGTGTCTAATTTAAATTCGTGACTAAAATGGCATTTATCAAACTCGATTCATAATATACTATTATTTGCTAAAATACCTTATAATATAGGTAATATAATTGTTTTAAGGTATATATTTCATAGAGATAAATTTAGCCCGGCCAATAAATTTACATTTTATTGATTTTGAAACGCCAATACATTTGAAATTTAATCGTAAAAATTAAAAATAAACTTTATTATTAGCTTTTATTTGCAAATGTTTAACAAATTAACAGTTTTTAATGACCTGCGTACGTATAATACAATAATAATATATCGTTCGCAAAGTTATGAAAAATTCCTATATATACCTACAGTATTAGTATATTATGTATCAAGTTTTATAAACGCCATTTTAGTTACGAGTTTAATTATGGACGAGCGAAGCTTGCGATCGAGTGTTTAATAAAAACGAGTGTCTAGAGAAGTTTATAAACGAGTTGCATACTATACTTTATCTACGACGAACACAAAACAGAATTTAAAGCCAATTTTATTTGTTAAAATTTTGACCTGTCAACTGTCACCCGAATTTAACCTCACTTTTTCCAAATTTATAATAAAGCTAACTTCAGCCCGTGACGTAAAATGTCGAAAAGCCACTGTTGTTAACTTTAGCCCGTCAATAAAACGCCATAAAGTCACAGCTCGTCAATGTAGGAGTAGATAAAATTCTTTTTTTTCAAGCGGCCATGATATACAACCTTATATGCATGTATAGAGATAGTTGAAGTACGTCTTTTTCATTAGCGGCAGACTAAAAACTCAAAAAAGCCTAGGGATAGAAGTAAATCCATAGGTGACTCAATAGACGTCAAATAATAAAATTAATTTAGCATTTCATACAAAGCAATCACGATGTATTAATTATATTAATTATAATCGCACGGAATATTTAGTGATTATTTATTAAATTTTAATTGAACGAAATAAAGAACAACTAGTTTATTAGTATAATATTATGATGATAGACGAGTCGCCAATGTCGGAACTCCAAACAAATGTCAGTACGTCAAAATTAATTCAAGCGCAGCATTTTGACAGAGCAGTGTTTATTTTTAGTTTAGGATATTTATCGGCATTGTAAGTAAGGGTTATAAGTTTTTTTAGTTTTTATCAATAATTTGTAATGCTTTTAGCCAAAATTTTATACCACATGAGTTATAAGTAAATAAAATAATTCTATTGCTTATCCTATTTATATTACCCCCTTAGTTTAACTGATTGTTTCTTGTTCGGGACCCTTTGGTGACTTAAAAATGATATTTATCAAAATCCTAGCTGCTCCTCATTTCTAAATTTTTTGAAAATTCATGATTTTCTTTTAAATTTTTGTTTATTTCAAAGTCTAACTTTGACAGAGTACACATTTGTACACCGATTTTTATAAAATTAGAGTATATTATTGAGGAGACTTAAAGAATACTTTTTAATACTGTTCACATCATTTGATATATACAGGGTGAGCCAAAAATCGCTTATTTTTAATAAAGCAAAAGCGTAAATTCATGATTTTGGCATGACACGCAAAAAATATTTATCCCCATTTTTTTTTAGATATTTCTACGTTTATCAGGTTACAAAATGGCATTCTTATTATCCTTTTACAAAAAAATTGATTTTTTCTACTACCTTACTAG